GTCTCGCGCCTGTCACCGCGTCTCGCGCCTGTCACCGCGTCTCGCGCCTGCCACCGCGTCTCGCGCCTGCCACCGCGTCTCGCGCCTGCCACCGCGTCACGCGCCTGCCACCGCGTCTCGCGCGCGCCTGCCACCACGTCTCGCGAGTGCCTGTCACCTCATCTCGCGCACACGTTTCCTACAGCGTCTCGTCACGTTTCAGACGCGGGCAGCGTCCGTCGACGAGCTTCACGGCGACGCGAAGCGCACGCAGAGCTCGTGCTCGCTGCAGCAGCTGGACATACGCGAGCGACACGCCGAGCGCATGCGTGCGCGCTCCGAGTGGTTCCTCGCGCCGCCGCGCCGCGTCGAGATCACGCTCGACATGAAGCGCATCGAGGAGATCCTGCAGTCGATGGAGCAGTGCTGGGGAGGGTGGAACGCATGTGAGTATTGTGTGTGTAGTTACAGCAGTGTTGGGGAGGGTGGAACACATGTAAGTATTGTGTGTGTGTAGTTACAGCAGTGTTGGGGAGGGCTGAACGCATGTAAGTATTGTGTGTGTGTAGTTACAGCAGTGCTGGGGAGGGTGGAACGCATGTGAGTATTGTGTGTGTGTGTAGTTACAGCAGTGCTGGTGAGGGCTGAACGCATGTAAGTATTGTGTGTGTAGTTACAGCAGTGTTGGGGAGGGCTGAACGCATGTGAGTATTGTGTGTGTGTAGTTACAGCAGTGTTGGAGAGGGTGGAACGCATGTAAGTAAATAGTTACAGCAGCGCCGGGGTGGGCTAAACACATTGTTGTGTAGGGTCTATGTTTTAATAGGTTATAATATAAGGTAATAATTTTAAATAATTATATAATAAAAGGTTATACATTTGTTTACCATTATAGACTGCTTCCTTAATAATATTTCAACGTTTGCACGTATTAGGACATAATATCTATGTTTATTATGTATTAATATATCAGACAGATTACATTGTAACCTTTTTTAAAAATAAAAATTGGCGATCAATTAATTTGTAGAATTTTAGGTAAGATAAACACGTATAAAATCACATTAGCAATGAACATATTTTTCAGAATGCTAATTGTTTCGATTGCGTAATTGACGCGCGTCTATTTGTTGCAGCGGCTGCGGAGGAGAGGGGCGAGTCGGGCGACTCCGTGCCCCGCCTCAAACATCACCGCTCCGGCGACCTGCTCGACAGCCAATCGCGCGGCTACAGCCAATCGGACGAGGTGTTGCAAGAAGGCCACTCTGGGTACGTTAGCCAATCGGACGACGCGCTCGACCGAGGCACGAGCGGGCGGGCCGGCTCGCACGACAGTGATAAACTAGGCACCAACCTAGAGTACATAGACAGCGGCACGGCGTCGCAGTCGGACGACGGCTTCCTCGGGGGGGCGCCACCGTCGGGCGCGGTGTGCATCGAGCTGGACGAGACAGGGTTCGTGAGCACGGAGACTCTCAGTGACACCGAGGTGATATCGGAGGAGACGGCCGAGTCGGGAGACACGGCGTCATCGCAGGATAAAACGCGCAACGACACGGTGACTCCGACATGATGTCTGCGTGCTGCCGACCCTTGACCTTTGACCCTCCCCCGACGACGGGTTTAGCAATATGGACCGTACGACGGAGCGCGTCCGGTATATTGAGCTAGTGTAGCGACGACGCCTGCTTGCATGAAACTCGAGCATGTTTAGTAAGCCTCGGTCTCCGACGTTTGGGGCTGTGATGTGTGGAACGCCGACCACTGCAGTGTATGGTCAGGCGGAATGGTGTGATTTCATCGCTTCTTCTCTCTGGTGGTGATTGTGTGAGTTCGCGGCGACAGCTGTCATTCAGCCATTGCGTTGTGTCCACCTACGTAGTTGGTTTTTTATTGAATTTTACTTTTTAACTCCAATGCCAGTCATTTGAACAGGTTAAGTTCGTTCCATTGCAAATGTTCACCTCGCCTTCTTTTAAATTGTAGCATCTTGATTGACCAAATAGCTTAAAAAACCGTTTACCTGGGCTTCTTACTGAGATAATATCGGTATATGAGTTCAGAAATGGTCACAATATGGCAGATATAATAGATTATTGCACACTGTATATGGAATGCCCTGCCACTAGACTTTCGGAATCAGTCATATTTTCATAGGCATGCTCCTGGCCTTGTGTATATATCACTTCAAAACATGTGTATGCATGACAAAGGCAAAAGTTAAAAGGTCTATTAGCATTAAATCAGGTCCATGCAACACACATTTTGCTTATTTGGTAGCTAGCTAGCTATTCATTGTGGTTGTAACATTGGTAACCATGCAAGACAATGCTACCTGACGTAGATGTGAAATGGCATTTGGTCAAGTTGTTACCAAACTTGCTTAAAATTTTTGCCATGGTTAGTTCAGAAGTGACGTTACACCACTGAGGCAAACCACTACATGTATGCATAGTTAGACATAACGCGAGAGAGGCAGCAACAAATGCACGTCATAAGTAAAATGATCTTTCCATGCATCTTCGCAAGACTTGCGAACAGTTATTGTTTAAAGTACATATCCTCTAGGACCAGAATGTGGCGCCATCTATATGTAAAACATGTTATCAATAAGAACCACCTGTTCGATGGTGCGCCCCCCAACATACAAATCACTAGTTGGACTTAATTGGGGACTTATCTATAATATGTAGTGTAGCAGTACCATTTGATAACTGTTGCGCGCAAGGAAAAAAAGAACTCGTGGTTCTGTTATTGGAACACATAGGAGATGTGAGGGTGATGTGAAGGTAGTAAATAGGGTGGATGGTTAAGCCACAATTGTAAAGAGAGCAGGCTTTTTAATGCTGTGGGCTAATTGTACTTTTACTGATGATAACTGCACAGAGACGAGGGTGTTTATTTATGTGCGTTGTGAGCGTGTGTTGATGAGAGTGAGTGCGTGCGTGTGCGTGCGTGCGTGAGTCCATGCACCCGGCCATATGCATTAGTGCGCGTATGTGTGTGTTGCCAATAGCAACGCGCCGCTGGCGACCTAGCATTGCAAATGAGGTATCATATTTTGTATATATTTGCTGGTTGGACTCTGACTGCTGTGCAGGTAAGATTTTATGTTTTGGTTTTAGGTTTTATGTTTCCCAATCTTGGTTAGTGACGAGTACAATTTATAACGACGCGTATTTGTATAGTAGTCCGTGGCCCACTCCGGCGTTCCTGTAGTGTTGTGCGTTTGTTATTATTGTTATTTATGCTTTTGCGGCGCCGCGATCGTGATCTCGTGCGCAGTGCTGCATTTTTACCATGTGATTTGTACGCACAATCGGTTGTCGCATTTCCCGTCGTTTTCGATTGTCACCCGTCAGCACACCTGCAGTGCGCAGCAACGTCGGTGCATGTTCTGGCACGTTGGGCGTAGCGTTTTCGCGCACATCTTCCGATTTCTCTGTGAACGACATTTATATGCGCTAATGCACAAGTTTTTGCTGATAGCAGCTGATCGACAGCGGTGGTGGTCGTGTTCCCTCGTGTGGAGTATGTTTGTTGCGCGGCTGCTTGCCGCCTTCCCGAATCTGCACCGTGGATGGATGGCCCAGCGTGGTCGCGTCGTGCTGAACATTGGTTGTCGCTATATGCACACACAGGCTCGCGTAAAGTGCGACTCGAATGGCATGTGTAGGTGTTCCCTGCAGAGATACGTCTGCCTGCCTCCGTGCCTGCCTGCATGCCTACCTGTAACGCCTACCTGTCTGTAACGCTTTGACAAAGAGAAGAGGATGAGAGAATGTATGGCAAAACTCTTCACGTGTGTGTTGGAACACGTACTTTTGGAACATCACTGCGCAAGCGTGGATGACAGGTGTGTGTGTGTGTGTGTGTGTGCGACATTTCACGTGGCCATGGTTTTCACTGAAGTTTTCGTGTTAAAGCTCATATACTGTCTAAAAGTGATCTTTCTAAAAAATGTCAACTACATGCGTATGCGTTCTATAGTTATATTGTGCTATATTACGCATTTTAGTGATATAACTTCGTTTTTTGGATCGTCTAAAACAAGACGAAGTGTGGCAATTAGAAAAAGGTTTACTGTGACAAGAAAATAGGCTTGCTGAGCACGTGACAATATGACGATATAGCTGGTACCGGAAGATGTCAATAGATGGCGCTGACTATTATTTTGGCAAGGACTTGTTAATAGTGAAGAATTCGTTAAAAATGTGTCAAATGTAAATCTCGTCGTAAGAGACTGCCATCTTTGAAACTGTCATTCCTAAAGTTTTTAATGCCAGGTGATAATTTATTTGCACCGTACGATCTTATTGTGTGACGTAACTGTTTTAGCCTCGCGGGTGCACCCAGCTCGCTTCAATCACAGTTCGTCTTTTGTCAGCAGTTTTTCGGCGCATCCTTTGTGTTATTTTATCCCAGTGCATGGTGATAGCCATTCGCTACTGCTGTACGAATCGTTATTCAAAGAAAGCGCGTTATTTTCACGAGCCTGTATCTGCACGTCTAGATTGTCGCGTGTGGGTAGAGGGGACGTTGCGTCTTCCATCGTGTCACGCTGTGCGCTGCACTTTCTAACGGTGTGTCACGCTGTGCGCTGCGCTCTCTAACGGTGTGTCACCCTGTGCGCTGCGCTCTCTAACGGTGTGTCACCATGTGCGCTGCACTCTCTAACGGTGTGTCACCATGTGCGCTGCGCTCTCTAACGGTGTGCCACCATGTGCGCTGCGCTCTCTAACGGTGTGTCACGCTGTGCGCTGCGCTTTCTAACGGTGTGTCACCATGTGCGCTGCGCTCTCTAACGGTGTGTCACCATGTGCGCTGTGCTCTCTAACGGTGTGTCACGCTGTGCGCTGCGCTCTCTAACGGTGTGTCACCATGTGTGCTGCACTCTCTAACGGTGTGTCACCATGTGCGCTGCACTCTCTAACGGTGTGTCACCATGTGCGCTGCGCTCT